GCGATAGGCGTCGATACAATCTACCTTCACACAATGAAGTTGCCATTGTGTTTGTAGGAGACGATGGTGCTCCACCTCCATCTAGAGAAGTTGTTATACACCCTCGAGGTCAGGCCTTGAAAAAAATATCAAGTATGTCTGCTAATCTAGATCCAATGATATATCCAATTTTTTTTCCAAGAGGCGATGCAGGATGGCATGATTAACTAGAGCACAATCCAGACAGAGCAACACGTGTTAGAAATCATGTTACTTTGTCTCAGTACTACAATTATAGGCTATCTGTTAGAGAAACCTTTAGCCCTACATTTTATGGTAGAAAGCTTTTTCAACAATATGCTGTTGATGCATATGTCAAGATTGAAGGACAACGCCTTGCCTTCATCAGAAATAACCAAAGCAAACTTAGAAGTGAACAATATGATACATTACATGAACATGTAAACAACTTTGCAAATAATCGTGACATAAGACCAGGGCGTATTGTTGTACTGCCATCTTCATATGTTGGAAGCCCAAGAGCTTTGAAAGAAAATTTTGAAGATGCAATGGCAATTATAAAAAAATATGGCAAACCAGATCTTTTTATTACTTTTACATGTAATCCAAAATGGAGAGAAATTACAGAAAATTTAAATCCAGGTGAATGTGCAAGTGACAGACCTGATTTAGTTAGCCGTGTATTTAAAAAGAAACTTAAATGCTTCTTAGAAGATATTTTTAAAAAAGGTGTTTTAGGCAAAGTTATAAGTCATGTACAGGTTATTGAGTTTCAAAAACGTGGTTTGCCACATGTACATATTTTATTACACTTTGTAAACAATGATAAGCTAGAAACAACAGAGGATATTGATAGTTTAATATCAGCTGAAATTCCAGATCAAACTGTTGATCCTGAACTTTTTGAAATTGTAAAAACATGTATGATTCATGGACCATGCGGAATTTTAAATTCCAATTCATCGCGCATGAAGGATGGGGTTTGCACATAAGGTTTTCCATAAAATTTCAATCTTTATACTATTGCAACTTTCAATGGCTATCCACATTATAGGCGTTTAGATAATGGTAGAGTAGTTGTTATAAAAGGTAACCAAGTTGATAATCGATGGGTTGTATCCTATAACCCCTGGTTAGTGAAAAAATACCAAACCCACATTAATGTTGAGGCTTGCATGTCCATTAAGTCAGTTAAGTATTTATACAAATATATATATAAAGGGCATGATTGTGCTAATGTGGTAATTAATGAAAGTGTTCACCATAATGAAATTAACACATATTTAGACTGTCGCTTTGTTTCTGCACCAGAGGCTCTTTGGCAAATATATGAGTATTCCATAAGTGATATGTACCATTATTCGCCTTCAAGTGCACCTTCCTGATAATCAGATAGTATATTTTAACGAGGGAGAAGATCAAGTAGCTAATAATCGTGCAGCACAGCGTGACACTCACCTAACTGCTTAGTTTAAATTAAATGCTGAAAATTTTGAAGCACGTCGCTATTCTTATATTAAAATTCCATATCACTTTGTGTTTGATGGTAAAAATTGCAAGTGTAAAGTAAGACAAAGAGGTAGTGATATGGTGATAGTGCGAATGTATAAAGTCAATCTATCCAGTGAAGTATTTTTTCTTAGATTGTTTCTTTTGCATGTAAAAGGTGCATTATCTTACGAGAATTTGCGCACTGTGAATGGTACTGTTTTTAATACATTTTGTGAAGCGTGTTATCAGTTAGGTCTTTTGCAAGATGACATTGAATGGAGAAATATATTAACTGAGGCTGTTGCAACTGGATTGCCTAAACAAATTAGGCAACTATTTTCCATCATATTAACATTATGTCAACCTGATGATCCTTTACACCTATGGAATACCTTTTTAAAGCATGTTTAGGAATAATAGATGCTTCATCAAGTAAAAACAAACTTACTTGTCTAAGGAACTCACCATGAATAGAATTTGGAATTACATTACATGTGCTATATTCCAAAATTGGCACAGAAAGTTTAAATGAGCCATGCAGTGTGCATCCATTTTTAAGAAGAGTTGCAGCTAAAGATTATATGGTGGAGGATTACATACACCGTTCAATGCCAGTCCTACTTGCTGAACAAGTTGCACTTTGTCAAATCGAATCTATAATTAATCAGAGTGGTAAAACTTTAGCTGATTATAATTTGCCTACTTTAGATCAGTTTTTAGATTCTATCCCAGAAAATGACGATGAAGATGTACAGGTATTTATTGATGAAGCAAATTGAGTTAGACCATTATGAGCAGCCGTGGCGCAGTGGTTAGAGTACTGGCTCAGAACCCAGAGGTCCGAGGTTCGACGCCAGCTCCAGCCCAAACAGCGACATTGGTACGGAAGGAGGCGTGAACTTCCTATTAAATGCTCTCCCGCGGTGCTCTATGATTAGACCGTAAGGACTTCTGGGAGCACCTAAATACATACATACAAAAAAATTATTAAATGATAATCAGCGTAATG